AATACATTCTTTTGGTCCAAACTTAACCCAATCTTTGAAAAACGAATTTAACAAGCAAAAAGGAATCTAGAGAGAGAGAGAGAGAGAGCAAGAACTTCCATAAGCTCCATGCACCAGCCATTGTAGAACTTGTTCCATAGCATTCCATTGATCATGGTTGGAGTTTTAAGGTGATCCTTCACTATATGATATCAAGTTCGTGTTAAGCAATCATCAAGGTAACCCTTCCATCGAGTTCTTCTTTATTGTTCTTCATCTACTTTCACTTCAAATGTTGCTGTAAATTCTTTGTTACAGTAGCTTTGCAAACCTTTTATCCTTGCTTCATGTGATCTTTGTGAAAGACTTATATAGGGAAATCATCCATTAGACTGCAAGCTTCATACCTTGATGATCCTTTGATTAAGCATAATTTGCCTTTGATTTTCTCTACATGAATTTTTTTGGTGCATTTCTTATACTCAACTTTCAAATACTAGAGATCTATTACCTCTTTGAATTATATAAAGTCCACACTTTTGCATGCAATCTTGTTTTGGTGGTCCGGTGGACTATACTACATAGTTTTGCTCTATCTTGCACAAATTTGATCGGATCTTCTTAGTTCCTTTTGCAAATTGTTTATGGTGTTATTGAGTATGGACCATAAGAAGTGTTTTTAAAAGTGTTTAAGTTTCCCAAAGTGGATAGATACCCTTGAGTCATATAAATCACTTGTGTGCTCATCTTTGGGATAATATTAAGTCCTCAAAAGCGCCGATCGTGGGCCGGGCACAAGGGGTTCGAACCATTGGCTTCCCAAGTATTTTTGGCACTCTAATACCTCTGTTTTGTTGTTATCATTCTCTGTTGTTACTGTTGGGGCAGTTTAGTACATGTAATTTGATTATATGAAGGTGTACTTCCATTGTATGTAACCAAGTGTTTCAATTTCGAGTTGGTGTGAGTGACATGTAATTTGCCCCATAAGGGGACTGTTCTAGAGTTGATTTTCAGTGGTATGTAAAGTCTAAGATGTTTTTATCATTGTGTTAAAGGACTGTTATTGTGTATTTGCTTTGTATAAGTAAGAGTTTTGTGTTAAGGCACAAAGTTGTATTGTTGTTTTTGGTTAAATTATAATGTTCCTAGACTTTGTACCACATCAACTATGACCCTTCTCTTCGTAGGGTCCTTGAAAAGTTTGCAATCCACTTTAACGTGGGTGACTGAATTGGTCCTTCTCTTACAATTGGCAATTTTGCTGATAAAGACGATGTTTTTGTCTCCTGCCTTTGATCGCGTAACTTTGGATCTTTTGTACTGGATGATCTCCAGCAAGATATACAAGGGAAGAAAGGTTACGAAGAAGCAGGATGCAAAGACTCTAATGGAGAGGCGGGAGGGCTGTCGAATGGCCATTTAAATACTTTAGCATTTGCGCATTTGTAGCTATCCATCTAGTGGTGCTATGCTACGCTAGTGCAAGGGTCTGAGATGGGAGATCAATGATTTAAAAAGCGGCCTGCCTAGCGCATAGGCGGTTTAGGAGGGCCAGGCGGGCCTCAGCTCATCTCCCAAGCCTAGGCGGCTCTTTTGGGCTGTCGGTCCCTGGGCGGTGGGCTCTCAATGCCTAGCCCTGGGCTGGCGCCCACCTAGGGTTGAAAATGCCCCCTCAGGGGGCATGTTCATCCTTTTTCCCCTTAAATAATGGGGGCAATGAAGAAGGGGGGGGGGGGGCTGTTTGGGTTCTTGTATGACCTAAACCCTTTGTGTTTCCTTTTGGAGTGAAATGTTTTTTTAAAAAACCCCTTTTTATATTTATGTGAGATCGATGGGGTATTTCAAATTTTTTTAAAATTAATCCATAGATCATCCTTTTGGTTTGGATTTAATTTTATAGATTTTTGAAGTTTATTAGAAAGGTTTTCGGAAGCTTTTGAGATTGGGAAACATCTCAAATATTAAGTATTGAAGATTGAGCAAAAAGGTTAGTTAAGAATCTTCATATTTGAGATTTTATATGTTATTGCAATGTCTCCTTCTAGTTATTTTAGAAGTGGTGATCCGGGTTAGAAGTATGGTTATAACCCAAATCTAAATGAAAAAAAATGTATAAGATATAATTATTGCGAAAAAGATGCTAATGGGGGTATAAACTGATTCAAAAAACACCTTGCTGGTTTTATGGGGAATGTTGTCCCTAGTAAAAATATTCTTGAAGTTATCAGGGAGGAGGTTAAACAACATTTGAGTTCAGTAAGATATAATAATGAACAAAAGGAGCCTTGTCATTTGGATACGTCTTCTAGTGGCTCTTCTAAAGTGGTGATTTGGGTTGGAAGTATGGTTATTATCCAAATCAAATAAAAAAATTATATAAGGTGTAATTTTTGTGAAAAAGATACCAATGAGGGTATTAAATGATTCAAGAAACACCTTGCCGGTATTGAAGAGGAAGTTGATTTTTGTAAAAAAGCTCTTGAAGCTATTAGAGATGAGATTAGACAATATGTGAATTTGGCAAAACCAAAAACGGAAGGAAAGGAGCTTTGTTATATGGAAATGTTTTTTCCTGGTTCTTTTAGAAGTGATGATCCGGGTTGGAAGTACAGTTGTAACCCGAATCCAAATGACAAAAATTGTATAAGGTGTAATTATATTGGAAATGATACTAATGGGGGTATTTACAGTTCAAGAAACACCTTGCCGGTATTAAGGGAATATTAAAATGTTCCTGAAGCTACAAGGGAGGAGATTAAATAATATTTGAGTTCAGTAAAACACAAAAAACAAGAAAAGGGTGAAGAGGCATCGAGTAGAGCAGCGAACACTCTTAAGGCCTCTAGACCATTTGCATAGAGGAAGAGGGGATTAGAAGAAGAAGAGGAAGAGGCGGATTCAAAAGCAACGGAGGAGGACGAGCATTATGTTGAAGAGGGAGATGACTCTGATGGCGATGGACTCGACTTCGATGCATGTTATGAGGCTTACCTCACTTTCCCCACTTTTTTTAATGATGACTGAAGACTCTTGACTCCTGACTCCTGAGTCTTCGAGTGTATATTTTCCTTTTCGTATTGTTTAGTTTCTACTCTTTTGTGTATGCCTGTATGGCTATATCATTGAATGGAACTATGAATTATGGAATGGTATGGCCCATGGAGCATGGAGTATGGTCTATGGATTATGGATTATGGATTGTGCCTGTATTACTAATTTACGACTATATTTGATTTTTGGTTTTGCTAGTATTCTATTACGAGTTTGCAATGGTTTGGAACTTTGGACAATTGGATATTAAAATTTGTAGTATTTTATGTTGTATTATTCATATTCCCTTGCCTCACTTCTTCAACCTAGGCAGCCCAGAAATCTGGATGTGCACCTAGGCACTGGGCAGCCGGGACCCCCATGACCACCTAGGTGCCGCCCTCCGTGTTTTTTGGAATACTGTGGGAGTTGGCCGCTACAATCAACTTGGAGTGGCCGGCGTCGTCATTGGTATCGACAACCCTTGACTAGTCGATTGACTTGCAGGTGACTTGCAGGTGGCTTGTTCACTCTCGAAAACGAGAATATATGATATGTGTTTTGAGCTGGTGTTGGACAATGAGTAGGCCGTGCGAAGAAACTAAAGAGGGAAGCTCTACTAGATCCTTTCCTTTAATTTTTGTTGAAACATTTTCAAAATTCAGATCTATTCTTTTGTGTTTGAATATATTGGTTTCCATTACTTCCGAAACCTATTCGCATGAAATTGGTAACATTTCTACTGAATTTCTTATCTTGATTATGGCCATCCTTGGAGAACTGACTTATTGATATTGTCTATAAAAAAGAGCTAACCTATGTTATCGCCCTGGTATTTGAGATCAGCTCGTTGATGAATTAACTTGTAGTCCTTGATACCCTAGGTCTTCTCAACTTAGCTATGTGCTATAAATTCTAGGACAGTAAATTGGTGGTGAACGCTAGATTGATTTGAAGTGGCTAAACTACCCTCCTACTAAGATAGCAACTGAACAGAAGTCAAACTGCCTGTTTATGTGAAAAATGTTTGCTATTATTACAGGACCGTACATTAGTTTACAGATAGTTTCTCCTCTTTGGTTCGGTGCTGCACTAACGCCATAGAATATCCAGTTTGAAGTCTGAACTGTCTAGTTTTTGATTCATATAGAATATTTACTTATTTATTTTATTTTTTTATACGAAATGTGTGTCCATTGAAATGTACAATCATGACAATAAATATTAGCTGTCACACAGCTGATCTTTTCTCTGAAAGCCAACTAATCTCTTATTGAATGATGACCCATTGCTAGACTCGACTTGCTTGTGAATGGACAACTCACCAGCAAGTCAACTTCCTGAAGCTGGCTCCTTACCAGATGGGTTTGTTGAAAGCACTCTTGAATCTTCTCAACCTATGCCTTTGATCTCAAACATGGATGAATCCTCAACATGCTACAGAGAAATTCATGCTGACGGGTATCACAAAACTGAATTGAGGAATGAAGTGGCAACAGACAAATTTACTGATCTGCTACCAGGGGATATTTCATCAGATGCTTCATATTGTTCAATTTCAAATGGTACACTATTGGATATTTCGTCAGTCCCTCAATTGCTTGAACACTGCAGGATCACTGATGAAGCTCAAGTTTCTGATTCCAAACTTGAGAAGATAAAAAGGGAAAGGGTATTCCCCGTTCAATTGTCAGATAAAGCTCCCCATGGAGCCTGTGGAAATTCGCTTGTAGTTGGTGAGCAGAATAGCGTGGAGCATCGGTGTGCTGAACATGCTGACACAATGACTACACACAGGGTTACCTTGGGAACACCTGAATCTCTTGTCCCTGTGTTGGGCCTTAATCCTCCTGAGAGAATAACCCCAAGTGATGACATCATAACTGACACATCTCTTCAACGTCATGAGGGTGGTGTACATGTAACTGTTCAATGTAATTATCCCTTAACTTTCTCTGCTATCTTTTACTGGATTACACGTGATCCACACACAGACATATGCATGCATGAATTCTCTGCTTCCTTTAATGGTTTACCAATGGTATATACATGCACCTGGGGCTCTTTGCTGATTAATATTGAAGTGGCAATAACAAGCATAGCCTGTCAAAAGACTTTTTTCTGTCTCTTGACAAAAAAAGGCTTCGTAATGCTTTTACCACTTTGATTTTGTTTTCATGTATTCTCTGTTGAGATCAGATTCATGATGCCTTTAAATTCTAAGTAATATGGGGTTGAGAGAGCCAGATATGTCAAATAACTACGAAACATAGTTTCTATTGGATATTACTTTCTTGGCATTTAAGTACTTGAATATAGATTCTACAAGTCATCTGGACTTGGGACTTGGCTGTCCTGAGCTGAGTCCCTGTTTGAAAAACTCAAATTATTGCTTGTATTGCTTCATTAATCTATGACTATTATCCCTATTTCCTACCAAAGTTATAATTGAAATAACTTCTTGTAATAGTCTCGTAAGTGTGGCATGTTGTAGATCATCTTGGAGTACATAATTTTAGAAAACTTTTAATTATAATAACTTAATAAGCTTATAAAAGGGGAAAAAAAACCTATTTCCTACCAAAGTTATAATTGAAATAATGTTGTAGATCATCTTGGAGTACATGATTTTAGAAAAAATTTAATTATAATAACTTATAACCTTATAAAAGGGAAAGAAATATATAAACATGAACATGCGATGCATAATTTTTACAGTCACTTTCATTTTATCACTAGTGCCAGAACATAATAATATATCGAGATAATCATTTCCATCCTTAGTGAGTGCATTTTTCCTCCTGATGACTCTCAGAGTGACTAACCTTTTGTAATCTATTGACAAATGGAAAACTATAGCATCATTGACTGCTCTCTAGAATTAATACTGGTTTCTTGACATTATTGATATATTCCAACATTTACACATGTCTTTCTTGAGCTAGTTATCTCCATGATGGCGTATTTGGTAGAACACATAAGAGTACAAACATACTGTGTGACATGTAGAAGATGTATAAAGCTCATGTAGCCCAAGTCCATGTCACGTATATGAGACATTTACTGTGTATGTGATGCTTCTTTTTTGGCCTTTGATATGTGATGAATTATTGTTTTGTGTCTGGAAGTCTTTGAATCTCAGCTGGATCATGTTATGCATGCCAGGATCTCTATGGCCAACTTACCACAATCCAAATCAACTCCCAAATAGATACTACTGTTGCTTTGGTTCCAATGTAGGGGTATGAAGTAAATAAAGGAAGATAACCCTTTTTAGGGCTTGTCTTTCTCACAGGTTGTCCCTCGAGAAAAACTTTACTTGGGATTTGGGGATGGTAATCGGGAAATCTTGATTTGGTATACTGGGGTTCTAGACAGCCCCAGTATGGAAATGACACCTTAATGGTTCATACTTAAATTTGGACAATGTTTAAAGAGTCAGAGTCGGTTCTGGACTTTGCAGAGTCTTCGTGAGTCTTGTCTTATAAACTTGGATGTTCTCAAGAATATCCGCTGCACCTTAATGGTTCATACTTAAATTTGGACAGTGTTTAAAGAGTCAGAGTCGGTTCTGGACTTTGCAGAGTCTTTGTGAGTCTTGTCTTATATACTTGGATGTTCTCAAGAATATCCGCTGTTTTCGGTAAGACTCGGGCAACAGATAGGAGGTTGAACTGGACAAAGTCCTCTATAAGAATAGGTGAGCCTTATAAGGACACCGACAAGTTTACTTCCAAACCTGTATGAGAGTGAGTTGATCAGTTTGAAAATTGACACCTGCCTGAGGTTGTTTGGCTTGGGCAAGTCCTAAGTTTTATGCCTGATCTTTAAAAAAACTGTTTTCTAAGAGTTAGTATGGAAAGGGGAACACATGGAATATTGGTTTTTTTTGGGTTTTCTTGTTCCCTATTTTGTTGCTGTGGAAGGGCAGGTTCGTGGAGTACTCTAGATTGACCTAAATCAACAATCAATAACTGCCTAATTTCTTTGAACAGTAAATGTTCGTTGGGTGGTATTCGCTGATATGTTTTGTGACATTAGTTGGTCGTGGTACATTTCTTTTAGTTTGGAATTTTGTAAACTGCAGGTTTCTTTTAATCCTGAAATGTTAAAAAAAAAACAACTAATGATCGAAATAAGGCAATGTTTCCGTTTGGATGCGTATAGTAAGACTGCTATGTATAAACTTGAAGAACAAGTGAGACTGATAGTAGAGGAAATCAGTAGGAGTCAAATGTGAAAAACTTGGATTCCACTGTTTTTTTAATAATTTTATAAACTATGAAATTAGAAGTCAATGTTCACTATTTAGGGGTAATGTCTTTTTGTTTGAGTCTTCGAGGAGGAAAATTATGAGTTTCTATAAAATAAATGAGATTTTTGGACCTATTAGCCGACCCCAATTCATTGGGATAAGGCTTGGATGATGATGATGATGTTCAATTTACCATAGCTAAAGTAGTATCCCAAAATTTGGCTGTAGCAAATTTGAATTGAGCTTTCTATTAAAATCCCTTTTCTCGCTACAGGGCCTCTTTTACAAAAATACAACCTGACACTTTTGACCCTAGATCTCTTTGAACAAGGTTTTTGATTGAAGAAATTATGTTACATATTTGTTAGAGTGCTTCAATGTGGACTTTTTGACACAAATTTCATGAATTTTGGAAAAGAATGGGGAAAAATTAAAGAAATAGTGAATCAAGGATTATGAGCTAAAAATTATGAGTTTTTGATCTCTTAATCTTGTAAAAAAACTATGCCTTATTGATGTGTTGGAAGTATTTCTGAATCTCGTAAATAAACTGTTGTGATTGTAAAATTGTTTTTGGGCTATTTTAGATGAGATCAATGGGAGATGAATGATTTGTGACAATTTTGAGCAGATTTGGTGAAGAAACGAAATAGAAATCAACTTTTTAAATTTCAAGTTTGTAATGCCAAAAAAAAAAGAAAAAAAGGAGAACCGGCTTGTTCCCAGGGGGAACTGGACCTGTCACCTGCAGGTCATGAGCCGATTTTGGTGGTTCTGAGTTGGCTTAGCAAATTTCTAGACCCTGCTTTTTTTATGCGCTTACAGTTTACCTTTACATAAAGTCCTACAAAACTAAGTTACTTTTAATCTGGTTTTGATCGGAAGATCTAAGTTACTTGGGTTGTATCAAAACTATTCATATGTTTATGGTGTATTTAAAATTCCAGAAAATTGTAGTCAAATGCATATAACATGGTTAGATTTTCTTTTATATGAAAGATATTAGTACTCTTAAAAGTTCATGATATTTCTCATGGAATGCAGGCATTGACAAGTGCATCAAGGTACCTGCTAATGTTAATGATAAGGCTTCTGTGGAAACTGATAGCAGCTGTGTTATTAAGCCGGTATGTAATGCTCTACTCTATTCTAGCTTAAACTTCTATGTCCATCATGTTTTCCTTTAAACATATTCTTGATGATTATGGAGCTCTATTATTGGAATTTTAAACCTTTTCTAAACCAAAAAAAGAAAAAGAAAAAAAGAAAAAGAAATAGAAATAAAGATGAGAAAGAATGAGAGATTGTGCTCTTACCTAGAGCGTGCTAAGAAATCCACCCCAAAAAACTCTTCAGGAGTCTCATAACCAATTACTCTTCTCTACTCGTGTAAAATTGATCATAGACAAAAGCAAACCCTAATACCCTAAAAAATCTCTACAATCAGTAGTCCAAATTGCCGCCCTTAAAATATCTAATGCTAAATGACTTAAATACCCCTAAAATCTCTACAAAATTTAAAGACCAAACTAAACCTAGCATTTCCTAAGAAATAAACCCTAACTGCTTGGGAAAAGGAAAACCCTAACTATATCACAATGACTGGGAAGTATGCATTTGCAAAAAATTTAAAGACCAAACTAAACCTAGCATTTCCTAAGAAATAAACCCTAACTGCTTGGGAAAAGGAAAACCCTAACTATATCACAATGACTGGGAAGTGTGCATTTGCAATTCATCATGTACCTGGGAATGTTTATTGGAAGCCTATGATGTGTGTTGCATAGGCAGCTAAATGCAGCATTCTGCATGGAAGTGGAACCAATGGTTTACTTTCATGAATTTACAGTAAAGAATCAGAAATTGCTATCTTTCATGGAAAATATGAATGTACATTAACAATTGTACATTCTCGAGAGAAAAGGGGACTTCGTGAGTCTGTCAACTCCTTGGGTTCATACTTTTGGCATGTACTTTCATTTACATGCACATCGATACATAAAAGCTATTGAAATAATTTGTTTGTGCTAAAGACAAATAATAATCTGTTGGGTTTTTTGTCCTTGAAGATTATTTCTTGCGCTGTATGGAATCTATGAACACCATTTGTACAAAGATATGAGTGGTGCTTATAATAATTATAAACTAGGTGGTTGTGGATCTGTAGTTGTTGAATATAGTTGTTGGGGTATTGCCTGAGGGTTATTACTTATTACCTAGAAACAGAAGTTTGGGGCGAAGAGTATGCCCTTGAAAAGCTTATCTTGTTGATTGGGTAAAGCTAATGTTGTTGTTGGGGATGACAATTAGCACTATCAGATTTTTTTTTTGTTTTTAAATAAAAGTCGAATCTATATTAATGTAAAAACAAAATGTACCAAAAGCCCCAACCAGGCTACCCACTATCCTGGAATTCAAAACATAAGGGGGAGCTATTGAGAGAACCTGACTTAGTAAGACTTCCCACTCTATCTCTACACAAAATCCACAAAAGAAAAAACCCACCATGCTCTCTCACTCACTCTCTCTCTACACTAAGCTTTTTTATTCAACCAAAATCGATAACCATCCTTACATTGCACGTCCATCCCCCCTTTTATTTTCTACCACCATGCTTCCTAAAGATTCGCTTCCAACAACATAATCCATCCTTTTAATTGATGGCTTTCCATCCACATCCCCTTATTAAAAGAAAACTATTCGTTCAAAATAGGAAACAAAATGGACTTCCTAAAAAAAAACTATACATAACCTTCCTTCTACAAGCTAACTCCTATCCAAAAGATCTTAAAACCCACTGACTCTTTATCTCTTAACAACCCTTACTAATAGAAAGAATTCACTTTAAGAAAAATAGACCTTCCAAAGAAGACTCGTCCCTCCTAAAAAAAAGAAAGACTTTCAAAATTTAAAGATATAGATTTACTCCAAGAAAATGGAGTTTATCAAAGTAACAAAAAAAAACCCATACTAATCCTATTTGTAAAAATTGACTCTAATAATAATAAGAAAAAACAACACACTCATAAAAATAAAGAAATAATTAAGTCTATCCGATCTTGATCTGCATCATTCAGTCTCTTTTGCTCAAGTCTGTTCTCTTATTTGTATATTCTTGTTTCATTGTACATCATTGCACTATTAGAATTCATTATTTAAATTTTTTTAGAGAACGTGAGTATAGTAGATTGATAGGAGATGATGATTAATGGAAAATTTACCATGTCAAATGTGCTGAAGTTGCACTCGCAGCCGGACGATATACAAGTCAAGTTCACAATTCTCTGTGCCATCCTTTACAAGTTAGGGGCACTTTGTCTATGGTTGGCCAACCATGAAGCTATAATACATTGAAAATAAATAGAGTACATATATATGAGTAAATTAAAAATTTAGAAATTTAAAGTCAAGTTTATTATGAAGTATGGAGTAAGAATTTAAACGACAAATACATCTTCAACTTGCATGGATATATTTTTGTCCTTTGCCTTATTGCGATATCTGTCCCAAGTGTCCTCATAGAGTAACGATACAAGTGAAGTTCCATAGACATTTTGTCTTGGACATCTGAGTCGGGGTTGAGCCTCACATTACACTTGTTAATTGCTTCAATGAATTAGCACCTACTCTCTACCTCAAAATTAGATAGAAATAAGCGAGGTTGAGATCGTACCTTGCAAGTTGTAGTAGTCTCTCCAACTGCAAATCCCACTTGTCATCTATAATTTTGAAAATGGGGCCATATTTGCTTTAATCTCTCTTCCAGTTCATCTTTATTTCTACTCTTGCAACCTCCATTGCCTTGTAAATATGCGCCATTGCCTGTTCCATTTCACTATCCACATGGTGAAGCGCTTTTGCAAGTGGCTCAAAAATATGGAGGCAAAAACTGAACCTCACTCCAAAACCTAGTTGTCAAAACAATGTCATAAACCTTTTTTCCCTTTACTTCTTTGGACCACTTACTCTCCTTCCAATATGAGGAGACAAATATGGTTCGAATTTGTCTTTTTGGTTATTCGGAGAATCCGACGACAAGTTGCAAGCCTTGTGACCCCCTGGCCTTACAAGTCAACCCTATCTATAAACTTCCTCAGCATGACTAAAACTTTGGTGTGGCTATAAATAAAACCTATTACAACTTTGGCTTTTTCTAATATCTCATCCACCACTTTCCTCTTTGCAATTTTCTCAAGCATGAGGTTAATACAATGAGCTGCGCAAGGCGTCTAGAAAATATGTGGCCCCGTCCTCTCAACAATCCCCTGGGACATTTAACCAATAAATTCATAACACTCCTTGACTTCTTATCGCCCTAAGTATCTGTCTTAACAGTCACCCCAGATCTGCCCCAAGCATCATTGTGGGTCTTTTAGGTACTCATTTGTTAGATCACTCTTTCTTTAGCAAAGATCCATTGAGCTCATAAGTTGTAGAGGCTCTATTTCCTAGGCCAAACTGCCTCACTGCCTCCAACATTGATTGGAAACTCTTCAAAATAGTAGACCTACTTGAAAGTACCATCGTGCCACATACTGATTAACCCTTTCCCTATCTTGCTTCTTCAAATGACTCTCCAGACTAGTCTATGCTTACTCCTTTTTTCAAACCACTACCTCAAGATCAAGAGGGGGGAAGAATGTATCAATAGGCCCCTTTCTTCTAGGTTTCTTATGCTTAATAGTACTTGGTCTAGATATGGAGGCCCCTCCCCCTTCATTGTCATCTTCGTCTTCTATAGCGTAGGTATTTACAAATCTTCTAATGTCTTTATTTAGTTTTTATCTTGTCTCTTCTTTCTTCTTTTGGACCTTTTAAAAGATTCAACATCTCTTTCCTAACATCTCCAGGCACTTGAGTACATGGCGATGCATCCCCTCTCTTGTTGGCCAAATGCTTCTTCAATCGATTAATGCCAGCATTGTACTCCTTTTTGCAAAATTTTCAAGCGACCATATTCTTTTCATTTGGGTTGGGACAGTATCCATATTTTTAACATGGATCAACTTGTCTACTTGAATTTGAGGAAGACATTTTCACCTACGGCCCTTAGTTATCAACTTATCATCTAATCCTTAAAATTACACAGAACCAACAAAGTCAAACTTGAATACATTTGCGAGAAGTGGAAATTGTAGATACATACACAAAAGCAAGATTAATTTACAACCATGCAGTCTAAGTATTTAAAATTTAAAATTGACCATCCAAAGAATATTAAAAAATGATCATCAAAAAATTTACATATAGGCAATGAAGTGGAAAGAATAAATACATTGACCCTTCAATATCTTGAGTTCTTGACAATTCAAAGAAGAAATAAAGCTAGCATGCTCAAGGAAAAAAAACTTAAAATAATGTAAAAAAAGTTGTGGGTAAAATCTACACACAAAAAATTTCAATGATTTAAAGCATAAAATTGGAAAAACAAAGTATGAATCATGAATGTATACCAAGTCATGCAACAAAAAAAATACTAAATCGGTTAGAAGAAATGGAATTTCCCCATTGATTTGGTTCCTTGATCTAAAAATTACAAATAATATCAAAGTAAATTTTACTCATGTAATTATTGAATACGAAGATTATTAAACTAACTCATGCAAAACAAATTATGGGGATAAAAGTTATGAACCTTAGAAGTAAACTCATGCAAAGAAAAAAAAAAAAAAAAAAAAAAAAAAAAAAAAAAAAAAAAAAGTATTCGCTTGATTTGGGGGCAATGGACTTTTCTCAATTAATTGCTTTCCCAAACTAAAAATCAAAATGGGAGAATAATCCAAGTAGTTGATATCATATCAAATACAAATCATAAAATATCTAAAAAAAAAAAAAAAAAAAGAAATACTATCATAATACATTTTACATAAAAAATACATAACCCTAATTAAAAATATTGAAATATGTCAACCTTCTTGAAATGGAATAGATAACAGCCCAAATCGGTTACTATTGGTTCCCAATACTCCTCTTTTGCAACCTCTAAAAGACTCAAAAAGATTTGGGATGAATATCCTTCGATTTTGGGAGGATTCAAGGAGGTTGAAAAACAATATGATCTCTTGAAATTCTTCAAATCTTGGTTTTTAGAGAGTTTCTCTAAAATCTTCAAAATCCTTTTCCCCCT